TACTGTTACTACCACTGTTGTTACTGTTACTACCACTGCTGTTACTGCCACTGCTGTTACTGTTTCTGCCACTGTTGTTACTGTTACTACCACTGTTGTTACTGTTACTACCACTGCTGTTACTGTTACTACCACTGTTGTTACTGTTACTACCACTGTTGTTACTGTTACTGCCACCGTTGGTACTGTTACTTCCACCGTTGTTACTGTTACTGCCACTGTTGGTACTGTTACTTCCACCGTTGTTACTGTTACTACCACTGTTACTACTGTTACTACTGTTAGTATTAGTACTATTACTGTTAATACTAGTGCTTATTCTACTATTACTACTAGTGCTACTACTACTACTAGTGCTACTACTACTACTACAACTACTGTTTCAACTACTGTTACTACTTCTACAACTACTACTGCTACTGTTACTCCTACCACACGTGCAGCTATTACTATTATTGTTACAGAGACTATTGTTACTAACTCTCTTACTACTACTACTACTGTTATTACCATAACTATTACTGTAACATAGTAGTGTTACTAACACTGCTGTTACTACTAATACTGTTACTAACAGTACTCTGTCTACTATTGATTTTACTACTACTGTTACTACTACCACACTTAAAACAACAACTACTACTACTGTTTTTATCACAACTGTTGCTACTACTTTTGCTACTAGTAGTATTTATACTACTAGTACCACAAGTATTACCATTTATACTGCTACTACTACTGCTTCTGTTACTACTATGACACTTGTAACTACTGCTAATGTTACTAGCAGTAGTGTTACTAACACTGTTACTAATGTTACTACAACTATTACTACAACTATGACTACTTTTATTACTATTGGTACTGTTACTACGACAACAATTATTACTACTACTACTACTTTTATTACTGCTAATTTTATTACTGCTATTACTACTACTGTTATTACATCTACTTCTTTAAATATCTACTATGGTTATTTTGTACAACTGCTGTTAGTACTACACTTCCTGCAGGTGTGTGTTGTGTTCATGGACACTTCCTGCAGGTGTGTGTTATGTTCATGGACACTTCTGCAGATGTGTGTTGTGTTCATGGACACCCTACAGGTGTGTGTTGTGTTCATGGACACTTCCTGCTGGTGTATGT